CGCGGGGGTGGCAGCAGGTTGAGGGGCCCCGCCGCTCCGCCAGCGCCTGGACGCGCCACGTGTGCGGTGCCCGCGGTGGAAATGCAGAGCGAGTCAGTGTGTAAATAACCGGCCCCTCCCTGCCTACTAGATGCACCAAAGACTGACACCTCCCCTGTGCTGCGCTCAGACCCCCGGCGCTGGAATATGTCAGAGGGAGACGACGAATGGTCCATCCAGCTGGTTCCCTGGGACCGCAAGGGCCCCCTGTGAGAGTGGCGCTCAGTGGAAAGAGCTACATGTAGTAGGTTGCCTGATCATTAACGTTGATGGTGGCATGTTCCTTTATTTTCTTCCTGTAATGAACCTGCCTGGCATGGTTATTCCTGGCCCGAACAGTCAGTCCACACACACGCCATGCTGTGCATGCGCTGCCGAGCCCAGCAAGCTACCGGTTGCACTGCTACACCTGCTCTTCCAGCACAGCCAAGGCTTCCACATGCCCACCCTTTAGGCTTGCCAACTGTCTAATCAAGAAAAATCAAATGACCCTGGCCCCACCCCTGCTCCGCCCCTTCCTTGAGGCCCTGCCACTGTTCACCCTCTCTCCATGCTTGCTCTCCCCAACCCTCACTCACTTTCACAAGGCTAGGGCAAGGAGTTGGGGTGTGGGACGGGTGTGGGGTGAATCTCTAGAAAGGAGTTTGGATTGTGGAGGGGGTGCAGGATGCAGATTCTGCAAAGGATTTTGAGTGGGAAGAAATGCAAGGTGCAGACTCTGGGAGGATGTTTGGGTGTAGGCTCTGGACTGGGACAGGCAAGGTTGTGGGGTACAAGCTCCAGGAAGGACTTTGGGTGTGGAAAGGTGTGATGGGTCAGGATCTGGACTGGGGCAGGAGATTGGGGTGCAGATCTGGGGGCAGTGCTTATCTGGGGCAGCTCCTGAACCTAGGGTTGCCAGACGGTTTCAACAAAAATACTTGACATTACATCACAATTTACATTATATCTTATTTAGAAAATACCAGACATTTATATTTTCTTCAATTTGTTTCTGGAACAGAAAGCTCAAATATTGGACTGTCCAATATTCAAAACCGGACACCTAGCAACACTACCTGAAAGTGACTATCACACTCCTCTGGCAGCAGCTCCTTGGCCAGAAGACAGGGGTCTTTGTGTGCCACAGTTCACAGACATCACCCCCACAACTCCCACTGGCTGCAGTTCCCAGCCAATGGGAGCTGCAAAGTTAGCACTTGGGGCAGAGCTCAGAGACACCTCCCCCGTCCCCCCACAAGGATTTCATAACAAACTAATGTGTGATTAATATTTAGCCATTTTTACTGTAATTTCTGTACATACTTTATAGCACTAGAACTAATTGTTCATGGTGGCTTCACAGGCCATTCAGGTAATATGTCCTTACAACTCAGGATCTTCTTTCTAAAGATACCCCGAGTCTCAGCTGACCTTATCAAAGAGTCACCATTCTCTTCAAGAAGAAATACATGAAACAACCTAAGCATGGCAGCTACTCAATTTCAAACAGATGTTGGCCCATTTTATCCCTGTTTCAGCTATTTTTATTCCCTATGCACCTAAAGGGGGAATATTTATGTCTGAAACATGTGTCAAATATATACAATGGCTGATATTAGGCCACTCATCTGATGAAATGCCATTTCAAGAAATCACAGTACATAAAACAAATAACTAGAGGAAAGAAGAGGGTGAAAATAGCATGGTATTTTGATTTATGCTGTTTGCTACAAATAGCTCATTAGATCCTTTCACCACAACTTGGTCTATCAGGCCATGTCTACACAACAGGTAAGATTGAAGCAGCCGCAGTCGAACTTCCAGAGTTTGAATTAGAAGACACACTAATTCGAACTGAGAGGACCCTCCTGTCGATGCTGGTAGTCCTGCTTCTATGAGGAAAGGAAGTCGAAAGGAGAGTATGCTTCCTTCAACTTCCACAGAGTGGACAGCGCCAAAATTCAAATTAAGGTACTTTGACTTAAGCTATGAAATTAACGTAGCTGAAGTTGTGTATCTTAAGTAGACCCTACCCCTTAGTGCAGACCAGCGGCCAATGTATTCCAAATATTTGTTTTATTACTTTTGTTTTTAAAAAAAGAGTATCTGTTCTGATACCATGCTTGGTTTTGATTAACAGCAATTTGAACAGATTATTTCACGCAATGAATCTCTAATCAAACCAGCCCATATCAGGAAGTAATTCAAAGTTCTAGCCAAGAAAAGCATGTTCCAAGTAATCAAGTATTTACATTCTTTTCAGTTGTATTGTACTTTTATGACTCTTCAAGTACATTTTATAAACAATGGCACTGCAACAATAATAGTATTTGAAGAAAGATTTCATATGCTATTTTAGAAAAATCAGCATTTTTGCCTTGCTTTTTATGTATATATGTCTGTGCATGCCTATGCATATAGGTAGGGGTGGGCAATAACTTTTAATAGGAGAGCCACTCCAAGATTTTGGCAAGGGGTGAAGGAATGAACTTCTATGGCGGTGGTATGCAGGATGGTATGGAGGTTGGGTACGGAAGAAAGCTTGGAGTAGGGGACTGGGGGAAGAAGGGGGTGAGGGGTCTGAGAGGGAGTTTGGGTGAAGGAAGGGGTTGTGATCTGGGGTAGAGGCTTGGGGTGCATGGTCCAGGAGGGGGTATGGGTGCAGGAGAGGATTCTGGCCTGTGAGAGAAGTATAGGAGGTGGTACAGGGTCTGGGAGGGAGTTGTTACCTGGGAGAAGGGGATGCAGAGGATTTAGGTATGACCTGGGTTAGGGGAATGGAATGCAGGGTCAGGGAGGGGGTATGGGTGTAGGAGAGGATTCTGACCTGTGGGAGGATTATAGGAAGGGGTGCAGGGTTTGGGAGGGAGTTGTGACCTAAGAGAAGGGGTGAAAGGGGCACAGAGGATTTGGGTGGTGGCCTGAGGCAGGTAGTGAGAGAGGATGGGGTGCTAGATGCAGGCTCTGGCTGGAAGGTACTTACCTAGGCAGCTCCCAGCCAGCAGACCTGCAGGAACCTTAGGCAGACTATCTGCTGCTGGCTGTTCCACGTGGCTCTGCTCCGGACATAAGGGGGTAGAGGGAAGGAGAAGTCTTCTCACACTGCTCCTAGCCCCAGCAAAATGTCTCAGTTCCTGTTGGCCAGAAACTTGCTAATGGGAGCAAGAGATTTTTGCTGGGGGGAGGGGGGAGGGCAGAGGCAGCATGTGAAGACTCCCTCCTCCCTCTCCAACAGTCCAGAGCATAGAGCAGCTGGCTTTTTAAAAAGCATGAGCTGCTCTCTACTTAAGGGTTCTGACAAGGTGACTGTGGGCCAGATTCAGTGGCTTGGCAGGCTGAATCCAGCCCACTGGCAGCCTCTTGCCCTTCCCCCCGAGCATAGGGGCTTATTTTCCTCTTTCACATGTTTTACAAGGATGTAAGTTCCTTGACTTAAATTGAGTTACTCTTAGTTTACCAGGTACAAGAGCATATTCAATGTACAGAGATAAGTCTCTCTGGGTATGTCTACACTACCCTCCTAATTCGAACTAGGAGGGTAATGTAGGCATACCGCACTTGCAAATGAAGCCCGGGATTTGAATTTCCCCGGGCTTCATTTGCATGAAGCCGGCCGGCGCCATTTTTAAATGCCGGCAGTTCGAACCCCGTGCCCCGCGGCGACACGCGGCACGGAGTAGCTAGTTCGGATTAGGCTTCCTAATCCGAACTAGCTGTACTCCTCATTCCACGAGGAGTACAGCTAGTTCGGGTTAGGAAGGCTTGTTCGAACCCCGTGCCGCGCGGCTGCACGCGGCACGGACTAGATAGTTCGGATTAGGCTTCTAATCCGAACTATCTGAACGCCTCGTGGAACGAGGTGTACAGATAGTTCGGGTTAGGAAGCCTAATCCGAACTAGCTACTCCGTGCCGCGTGTAGCCGCGCGGCACGGGGTTCGAACTGCCGGCATTTAAAAATGGCGCCGGCCGGCTTCATGCAAATGAAGCCCGGGGAAATTCAAATCCCGGGCTTCATTTGCAAGTGCGGTATGCCTACATTACCCTCCTAGTTCGAATTAGGAGGGTAGTGTAGACATACCCTCTGACTGTGAATCGACATAGGAACTAATCTATATTTTATATATTATATAATATGCTGTGTTAATTTAACAACTTAAAAATGCCTGCACTCAAAAAAATGTATTATGTAAAAATAGAAAATTCCTAATAAAATATTCTCATTTAAAACAACTCAACTGAGTATCTTTATTTACAACAAAAATAATTATGTATAGCAGTACTGGTAGGGACAAAGTTTTTTGCATGCAAAGATTTCACACAAATTTTTTGTTTACATTTTTATTCCACACAATTGTATACATCATGACACTAGGAATCGAATAATTTTAAGATGCTTTTAATATACTCGAAATTAAAGAAACATTTGCAGTTTTAACAAAATCTGATTTAGGAACATTTACAGTCTAGTGATTTTTTTAAAATTGTACAAGTAGTAAGGTATAATTTTTGAGTAAAACATTATGTCCATGTATTCCTCATTCCCACAGCATTAGTTCTAGGTAAGGAGTAAAAATTCTGAAGAAAATAAAATAGCAGTTGTTAATAGAGTTATACGATGTGATTCTATATACCCCAAATACAACAAAGGGAATAAAAATATATTCAAACACTTAATCACAGTATTGGTAAAGGACAGGGGGGACTGTTATGTACCACACCAAAGATTCTAATTAGCTAACTTGTTTGGGGTTCAATCCTGTAGTCCTTACTTGGCTTGGATTCACTGAGAGTTGTGTCTCTGGATTTAAGCAAAGGTCTGTTCTCTTCGCAGTATACATATGGGCAGGGATGTAGGGCAGGGCGAACAAGGCAGCCGCCCCAGGCCCCGCGCTTAAAAAAGCCCCGCGCATGCGCCGTGCTCATTGAAAGTAGGAATAAGAAATTCTCCGGAAAAGGGCTTATTTTCCGGAGAATCGCATCTAGACTGGCGCTTTTCTCCGGCTTATCCCCAAGCCGGAAAAAAGTGGCAGCCATGTAAATGCAAATGCCGTGGGGGATATTTAAATCCCCCGCGGATTTGCAATTCCGACTCGTCTCATTAGCATCCCTTTTCCGGAAAGGGATGCCAATATAGACGTAGCCATGCAGTTCTCCTTGAAGCTAATGAGATTTGTAATGAAGTTTTACTCAGAAAAATAATTATAAATAATAATTGTGGGTTTTCCTGTTCATTCTTTTAAAATTATTTCTGGATGGAATTTTCACAGATTACAATTCTAAATTTTCCCCCCCAAACTGTCACTAGCACTAGCTCTACTAACTTGATGTTTAGGTTCCTAGTTTTAATAACTTTCCAAACTGTCCACAGATTTGAGTGCCTCAGATTTTTAGTTGAGATACCTATAGCCTAGCTGAGACACCTATGGCACTCTGGGTGGCTCTGAGGATTGCCTGGAAGGTGTGTGGGGGTGGGGGGTAGTAGCACAGCATACTCCAGAAGGTCCCGAGGACTAACTATGAGCTGACCTATTAGGTTACTACTATATACTGGGAGCAGGAGGATGTGATTCCTGTGTCAAGTAGACATTCTCGGTATTAGTTCTCATTGAATTAATATGCTAAAAATAGTAGTGTAGCTGTGGTAGTTTGGGTTACTCATCCTAAGTATGTACTCACCATGACTAGGTGGGTTCATACTCAGGGCTGTCAGCCTGTGCCACTCACTGCCCATGGTATCACAGCTGCCCTATTTTTAGTGTCCTAGCCTTGATGACAGCTAGCACCAAGTATGTCTGCTTGAGCTAGGAACCACACTTGGAGCTCCAAGTGCAGACATAGCCTTAGAGGTATGAAGTATCTGAAGTGCCCATTGACTTCAATTTTAGATGTGATTTCTTAGCAATTCTGAAAATTAGGCCATAGGGATCTCAATTTGGCTACTCTAAAGTGGTGTCACCCAGACTAGTGGACTATTTTTGAAGATGTGTGTATCTTTGTTTATTTGTATAAAGGGGGCAGGATTTGGATGTGAACCTTGGTTAAAAATATGAAAGAAATACCTTTTCAGTGGAAACCTGCTGATCTTCCATTGCGTGGCTAGAAATCAATAAATAAGTCATAAGAAATTAACACTGTAAAACAGTATAGGATTTAAAGAAGAATTCACCATAGTAATATTGTATTGACTGTATTTTGCAAATCCCTTGAGTTATCCCATATATTTTACAGAATAATTTCTCAATTAAAATTAGGATAATGATCAAATAACATTGTCTATACTTTTTCACTTCTGAAAACTGGTTATACGGCAAATTTAATACTGTTTAAAATGGAGAGCCAGACCACACCCATCTCTGTTTGAATTTGCAAAAGGGAAGAAGAGAATACAAAGAGCTTCTTTCCTCCCCTTTCCATCCTCACACAGCTCTCATCATGGTTATCCAGAATTTGTTACCTCTTGGCTAGAGGTAACTTCTTGGCTAGATAATTTCAACACACTGCAGATGGGACTAAACACTATTCATCTAGTGCTGCCAGTGCAGAATACACAGACCCACAACATAAAGTACATTACACCTATTTTCTCTCATATGGATTAACTGTAAGATGTTGTTGTTTATTTTAAAACCTTGAATTGTTTGAGATTTATCTATTAGATAGCTACCAGATCATGTGGAACAGGTACAGTTCAGGTCCTATGAAGCACTTGAGTTGAAGTCCCCTATAAATGGAAAGGTGCTTGCAGCATGGAATTATCAATGGGGCATCACTGGCTTTGAAATTCACTTCTCTCTTATTCCTCTAGAATTTGACTTTGGTGACTTTAGGACACACTGCAAGGACATAACTGTAAACTCAACTGGTGGGTATACTGGTAAATCAGAATCCTTGTTTCTAAGTTCTACCATATTTCATTAAAAGCATTTGGGTTACTATGGTTTTGTTAAAATCATCCAAAAATGGAGATAGCTCCTATCTTTGACTCTATTATTCTTCATTCTATTCATAGTAGATAGAAATGTGATTCTAAGTTGTTATTATTATTGTGGTGTTCAAGGCAAATTAGACAAATATAAAGAAAGTCACTCAGAAAGGTTACAATTTCAGTCTCAATGGTACCACGCTTGTGAATCATACTAGGCCAAAGTCATGTGTAGTATATCAGAGTTGGCAGGGTCTCATTAACTTTGCACCACTCGTTTAATTCTTTTCTTGCTACACCCTTTTCACTGGTGTACACTTCAGTAATTTTGCATATTCAAAATGGGCTGATTCAATTTCCATTAAAATCAATGGATCATCTCCCGCTGATGGTAACAGCAGCTGGTTAAAGCCCAGAATGACTACCTTTCCTCTGACATGCAAAGTACACCACTGTTTATGTTACCCCTGAATTTGATTAGGTCCTTTCACTTAATCTTAACTCTCTAACTCCAAATTTTATAAAGAGAAAAGTAACATATAAAACAGGTGTACTGTTTGTCAACCACTTTAGTATATAAATAGAAAAAATAGTAAGACTACCCAACAAAATCCAGAAAAGCCAATATTAAGGATGACTTGCCATACTTAACTTAATCCATTATGCTAAGAAACTGCAAAATAAGCTTACAACTTAAGTTTAGGAATGGACTAGGTGTATTCCAATTAGATATTTTTACACCCTCTTAGCTGAAGTGAAAATGACAATACAAAATTAGGAAAGTGGAAAATCAGAGTATCTTGTTGCAATAAAAACTACTAGTGATATATATCATGGCACTGCATGTATTAAATTAACATGTAAAATACTAATTTGAAAAAAGCTTTTATTTACTAGGTAGACAAGGTTGACATATCTATCTGCATGTGCTCTAAATCCTTATTAGTTTAAGAGTTCTATACATGATAATTGATTATTTATAAAGAAACAGCATGGCAACATGTCCATTCAGCAGACACTAAGATAGTATGCCTACTTTCTTACTGTATTTTTGGTGTAAAAGTTTTATAAAGCCAGATTTAGATATGATCTCAGAATATCCATTTAGTAGATTAAAAAAAAATTCAGTTGGTGTGTAGGAGAAAAAGTTTCCATGTTGAGACAGACACAAGTCTATCAAGGACAAATATTTACAATCCAATTACTATCTAATCCTGAAATGTGCTTACCACTGACAGCACTTATTAATTTATATTTAATATTTCTACTGTAGCTCACAAAGACTCTAGTCAGGCCCTGTTCTGCTAGTCACTGTACAAATACATATTCCCGATCCTATGGAATTTACCAAAGCACCTCTGGAAATTCTAGGTGTTTATCATTGAAATGCAGATAGATCCTTAACTGTAATGAATACTGCAACAGAAACAAGCTCCCGTGTCTCTCACTGATGTCCAATACTGTACTTTTTGCAATCTAACAATCAGTTGGGGGGAGGGGGGAATGATGAAAACAACAACCATACCCTGAACAAGAAGTAGCCCCTGCTTTGAATCCCTCCAAGTCCTTGAAGTTCCTCCTGAAACAACAATGCATTTCAAAACAAACTTGAATAACTCAAATGATACAGAAAATTGTCCCAATACAACAATTCTCAGAATTCACCAGCGAATAAAATTGTACACTATTTGTATTAATTTCATTTCAACATTGAGATGGAAAGAGAAGGTTTCTAACAGTTCCCCTTTAATACACATATAAGGCTCTTTGTGTACCTAATAAAAACATTTTACAGTACCACTGTATCCTCTGAAGCTCCAATAGGCATGCATTATGTATAATTCTCTCCTTAAACAAAATGAAACAACTCATCTTCAAAAATAATTTTGACAAGAAATAACCTTTTAACACTTGAGGGTCAAATTTTGTTTCCAGTTCTGACTCAATTGAGACAGAATTGTTCTAGAAATACACCCACATAGCTGACAGAATTTGGCTTTGACTTTCCAAGTTACAACATTTACAATTGTGACTGTGCTTTGAGGACACCTCAAGAATTCTCAAAATTTGTGGCCTTTAGCACTCCCTTCCTTCCCACATCTAGCTGTCAAGAAAAGGAAGGTTGTTGTGACCTCTGAAACTGTTCATGACCCACAAGTTGAGAACTCATGATCTAATAATCTAGCTCAGGGATCTCCAAACTTTTTAAGCATGAGATCCCTTTTTGAATTTAAGTGCAATCCAGGACCTACCTCAAACCCAAATACCCTTGCCCCGCCTCCTTTCTGCCCCTTCTCCAAGGCCCTGCCCTTGCTCACTCCATACTCCCTACCCCATCCTCTCTCACTATTCAGGCTGGGGGCAGGGGTTCAGAGCACATGGGGGTTGAGGACTGGGGCCGGGTTTCAGAATGTGGTCTCCAGCTGGGCACCGCTTACTACAGGTGGCTTCTGGGTGATGGTGCAGGGGGCTAAGGCAGGCTCACCCCAACCCTGGTCCTGCACCAATCCCAAAAGCAGCCAGCAAACTCTCTCCATCCCTGCTCCCCTCTGCTCTGTGGAGATGGGGTACAGGGTAGAGGGAGTGGCACCCTGACATCAGCACCCCCCCTTCCTCTTCTTCCTGTGCCCTGCACAGCAAGCAGGAGGCTCCCAGGGGTGAGGAGCACCTGCAAAGCAGAGGGCAGGAGCAGCATGGCAGTGCTGAGAGGGGTAGATGAAGTGCTGACACTTGATAGCCTCCCAGCCAAATCTCTCAGGATCACCTGTCAAAGGTTCCAAGATCTACCAGTAGATCCCAATCTACTGGTTGGTGACCACTATCTATCTAGTAAGAAAGACTAATGAGTAAACACATTCTAATTTGTCATATAAAGCACAGTCCTAAAAACCCTCCAGGCATGGAATTCCCTTTAACTTCCCTGAAAATGATATGTATAGAGAACTTGTAGGTGTCATGAGCCATGGGCTGGAATCTTGGTTCTGATTTATGTGAGAATGATCCTGGTCCAACCCTCCACTTGGTAGCCTACTGACGTCTGATTTTTTTAGGACCACAAAGCCCAGCTGCAGTTTAATCTCTGATCCTGAGGTCCTATTGGCAGAACCCCAAAAAAACTGACTGGCTCACTGGCCCTTTTAAGCTAGCAGCAGGACCAGGAAGCTGTCCAAACAATGGGGCTCCAGCTCTCCAGCCTTGATTTCCTGGCATTCCAATGTGGCTTGACTTGTGGTTCCTGACTGTGACCCAGCCTGACTCTGATTCCCAGTTCTGATCTCCAGTTTGTCTCCTACCTCTGATTTCCTAGCCCAGCTAACTCTTGACCTTTGTCTTGTGACCATGGAGTTCTATTTTGCCCACTAGATGTAGCTAACTGCTACTGGCTTTGACAAGAGGACTGAGCCCAATATTTGTAGAGTCCATTTTGAAAGCATATATTTCACATAGATATTTTTGTGCAACTGTACTGCAATCACAGTTCAAGTACAAAATGCTTTCCATAATACTCTTAGATCTAGAGTCACATATTTATCATTAATTCTTTCAGTCACCTCTGGTATTTCTTCGTGTCTCTGGCTATCACTGAGGCTACAATCATAAATCAGAATTATCCAATAGAAAAACATGCTTTGTTAGCTTCTGATGTCATTAGCATCTATAACAGCGCTAAGATTTCTTTGACCAAGATGAACCCAGGCACCTCCAGCCATAGGACTTCCCAATTCCCAGGAACCTCTCTAAGAAAGTAAATTGTACATCATTTTCAAGTCTTTTAAAGCATGGTAAGGCCCTGTTTTATTGTCACAAGGTACACCATATCACCATGGATCAGCTGTGCTTTGACATATAGAGAGTGCCTATATGGTTTTCTTTACATCATATCCTTTCTATAGTTACATATAGTTATATCAACTATACTAGGTTTTTTTTAAAGGTTAAAATAACAATGTTTTAAATGGATAATATATATATATATGAGTTGTCCTGCAAGAATGTATGTTGAACTAGATTCAGAGGAAAGAAAGAAAGAAGTACTTAAAGATGGAAAGCTGTAAAGTAATTAAAATAATAGATATATGATACCAGTATCAAGCCATCTCTATATCCCTCCTCCATCTTGTTTGAGAGGTAGAGTTTTTCAAGGGAGCATCAAGTTGTTAGCAAATGAGGGGAAGGTGCAATGGGGGTAAATGCAGTAAAGAAAATCCTGACCCCACTGAAAACAATTACAAAATTCCCACTTATTCAACAGGGTTTTGATTTCACCTTGTATTTTCCTTCCACAATGGTAATGGATTAGGAGTTTTATCCAAGAACTAGAAATGTTTGTGTAAGTAATTATTTGCATTATTTCAAAAAATGTGGGGGCCAATGAATGAAAGTGTCACAGAATTTAAAGTCAATAAGCTTGTGGTATTTACAGGTTCAGCAAGAGCACTAAGTTCTCAGGAGCAGGTGACAATAATAAAAATAGGTACATGCTATCAAACAGCAATCTTTAAAATAGCAACCCAAGGATAAAATAATGATTACAATAATTAACAATAAAAATCAAATAGTTGTTAAAGTGTTGTGTACATTACCACATAGTGCAGCCCCCAGTAATGCATGGGCTCTCAGCCTAAATATATAGAGTGGTTCTCAACAGGATTTTTCAGGGTTTCTGCTTAACAGGTCTCATTTAAAAATGAGCGTTCAGTAAGTTCCAGATGCAAGGACATTAAACAGCATGGCTGTTTTTCTCTTCAATTGACTGTAGTTGATCAGATACATCCATTTAAATTAGGTATCCCCAGACGTCAGTGCATAACAGAGGATTGCAGCAAACAGGCCCATCCTACACTATGTTCTCCAACAGTTTTGACTCTTGATCGTAAGTACAATACAGGCTGGACCTCCCTCGTCCGGCACCCGCAAGACCTGATGGGTCCTGAATGAGGGATTTTGCTGGATTAGGGGAGGTCCAGAGGGAAAAAAAAGAAGCCTCAGTAGTTTTCCTCAGCTTCACTTCTCCAAGATGGAATGCACAAAATAGTAATTGCACTAATTTAACTTCAACAGGTTTTAACCCAATTTCATGTAACTAGTGCAAACTCACGTGTGGACCCCTTTTTTCAGTTTATGAATGGCTTATTTTAGTTTAGCTTAAGCCTGTTTCAAAATCACTTATCCTACAGTAAAATAAAGTGTTATTAAACCAAAATAAGAATGTGCAAAGAGGTTCCATCAATTTAGCCAAACCTGTTGTGTTTTTTTTTTAAATCACACTTTGGGGGCTTGTCTATAGGAAGCTGCAATATGCACTGTGGGCTGTGATTCCAAAAGTGCACTAATTGTGTTGTGCATTAATTAGTCCATGCAAAGCATGCTAATATGCACTAAAGTTTCTGTATTGCACTTTAAAATAATATTGTTGCAAAGGTCTCAAAAGATCAGTATAATATTCTTAGTCTCCTTTGCTAGAAATATCTAGTATCAATGTTCATCTTTGATTCTGTCTTAGAAATGGTAATAACATACATGGTAATAAATGGAGATCTGATCAGAAGCTCCCAGTATACTGAGAGTTTATGTAATGTTCCACCCAGCAAAACAGGTTGGATAAAATCTAATATTTTCTTATTTTCACTCTTTCAGGAATAAAAAGAAAATAGAGACAATGAAAGAGTCACGGCAAGGATGAGCTACCTACAGAGGCCAAGAAATAGACTGAGCATCTGTCTCTGTCATAAGAAGCAAGACCATACATCCCATTTTGGCCAGCTCACTCCCTTTTTTTAAGCCTTGTCCTGGCCCTCCAGATGTTTTTGAGGAACTGAGGGGCAAAAGTGGGTATATGTCTCATTTGCTCTTGCCAATTGAGCAGCTGGAAAAAGTAAACAGAATAAATGCTCACTTTTGTCAAAAAAGTAGGGTGTGAAAAAACATGCGGGAGGGCAAGCTATGATGCCAGTCATGTGCAAGGTGGAAGAAAGGGCTCAGATGAGTGGCTCAGGTAGCCCTGTGGGGATGTTGCTCAGGCTAGTCCCACAAGGTATCCCATTTTCCCTTAGGCAAATATGGACACCCTAGTCATAAGGATGAAAAGCCATCTACAGTTCATTGAACATTGTTAAATTGAGATAATTTTGGAAACTCATCTGAAAGGCTGTCTGAGAATTGGTAAAGTTGAAAACAGGATGCATTAGAGCAGTGGTGCCCAACCTTTTGGGGCTGCTGGGCACTCAGGGCCTACGGCGCAAGAATGGCCCGGGGCAGCCCTTGTCACTAGGCGGGTGCACATAAATGCCCCAGCAGGCACCATGGCGCCTGCAGGCACCGCATTGGGGACCACTGTATTAGAGACTGATAAGGGAAACTAAAGGCCCAATGATCTCATCACTAGGCAATGCCACTTGTAATCCTGGTACCATCACATTACCAATAAATAAATCTATCTATATATTTTAGAAATGTGCATCTGTCTGTGAGTCCATTTGTTCACAAACTCCTCCTAAACAGTAAGAGCTAGGAGGACCACCAAATTTGGAATGAAGCTTCCTCTTATCCTAACTTAAAGCAAGATCAGGGTTTGGTTGTGCTGTGAAAACGGGAAGTATCTGGAATGGGATTGTTTTCCATAACATGGAAAGGGAGTGAGCTGCTAGGAGGGACAGTTATACTGCAGAGTGACTACAAGGGAGTGGCTGGCGGCCCAGTGTGGCCCGGGCAGCTGCCGCCACCAGTGACCCAGCACGGCCTAGTGAGCCAGCATAGTCCTGGTCACCCTGGGGAGTCACCATCACCCTAGGTGCCACAGGGAACTAACATGACCCAATCTACCCCAGGGAGCCACCACCACTGGCAATCCAGTGCAGTTGAGCAACTCGGAGTACAGGATCTGTCGAAAAAGCTCCCCGCTATTGGCAGAACCGCGGCTAAACAGCACTTTCACTTTCAAAATGGCGCAGCACAGCACCAGAACTTGAGTATGCAAATGAAGCCCGGGATATTTAAATCCCGGGCTCATTTGCACTTTCGAAGTGCTTTATTTGCATCGCTCTGTCGACAGAGATGCAGTCTGGAGGTAGCTTAAGTGAACAATTTTTAAGAAACAGGGAAGAGAAATCTTTAATATGTAATAAATCATGTAATATAAATGATTTATTTTAAATGTCTTTTCATCAGTTGTTTGGAAATGTTAATTATAAATGCATGTTTGGAGATATTTCAAAACAGAAAAGAAAAAATTATACAAAATCATCAGACTAGGGGAAAGCAGAAAAATGAAATATAGAGACATATTGGCTACGTCTAGACTGGCATGATTTTCCGCAAATGCTTTTAACGGAAAAGTTTTTCCATTAAAAGCATTTGCGGAAAAGAGCGTCTAGATTGGCACGGACGCTTTTCTGGAAAAGCACTTTTTGCGGAAAAGCGTCTGTACCAATCTAGACGTGGTTTTGCACAAGAAAGCCCCGATCACCATTTTCGCCATCGGGGCTTTTTTGTACAAAACAATACCGCATTGTCTACACTGGCCCTCTTGCGCAAAGCATTTGCGCAAGAGGGCTTTTGCTCGAACGGGAGCAGCATAGCATTTCCGCAAGAACACTGACAATCTTACATGAGATCGTCAGTGTTCTTGCGGAAATTCAAGTGGCCAGTGTAGACAGCTGGCAAGTTTTTCCGGAAAAACTGCTTTGGCAGAAAAACTTGCCAGTCTAGACGCAGCCAATATTATGTCTGACTCAGATGGCATAATGGAATCTGGGCTAACAATTAGAATCAAAACAGGAATTAATATTAGGCAATAAAATTCGATTTTTATAATGTGACCACTTCCTAGAAAACTTTATAAAGAAGAGAAACAGTAATGTGCATAGACAACTCTGTGTAAGAATTAATATAAATTAATGGCATAGTTCACGTAAAGTGTAAAGCACTCATGCTTAATACTGCTATATGAGTATTTTGTTTGTTTGAAGATATTTTGAGATGCTTTTTTAAAAAGGGAGGTAAAAAACTGTTCATAAAGTCCCTGTTTTCCAGTCATTTCCTCTTCATTTTCAAACCTTTCATACAGAATCTACGTCAGATGCTGAGAACAGAATTGTCTCATCAGTAAGTCAGAAAGCTAGCTAGGAACAAGTTAATAAAAAAAATTTTTTTTAATTCCCTTGGATGAACTATATTGTCTCTCCAAAGACCTAAAAACTCTGTAGAGGAATATATCCTCCAGAATGCAATTTATTGTTCCCAATGGAATGATAACAAAGTTTGCCTCTGAGTTACGGTGCACTAGGCATGCTACTATTGGTCTCTTATATTGAGATGAGGCCTATCAAAATCTTAGGTCCAAAAGAATTCAGGGATTTGAAATCAAAATCTCAGTCTTTGCATTTCACTGTGTTGGGGGATCAGTATTTAGCCCATTTATAGAGTTTTTAGCCTGTTATAGAGATAAGCTTTACTGATAAATTAAGCTCTAAAGCCACTATATTCAGAGTTCAGCTCTGCAGTATTGTTATGGAACCACTTCTAGCACATATTTACTACAAAAATATCCAATTTGATGATACAGCCTCTCTCTGACTTACAAACCAGTTACAGATCAAGCTATTGGTCATAACTCAGTTTGTTCGTAAGTCAGACCCCAGAGAGTTACACGTGACCGTGCTGTTCGTAAGCACGGATCGCGTTCATAACTTGGGGTCCGCCATTTACGACAGCTTCGGTCGTAACTGCGAACGGTTGTAAGTCGACCATTCACAACTCGGGGACCAGCTGTACTTTATGCCCTACAAGTATTATTCCTCTATTGGAAAATATTTCTTTCTTTTAACTGAACATTTTCTGGAATATGTAAAAAAGATAGCAATCTATATTTGTGTATGAGTATAAGAATTGATTCTGGTCAAATTTATTACACTTTTCTGCTGTGGAATTACTCCTATTTAACACAAGCCTAAAAAAGATCAAAATCAGTCCTCAAAGACTTTGGAACAGAAGTCCTGTTGATTTAATCTGATTAGAATGCAAAAGCAGTAGAAGACTTCTGACGCTCACTATCTTGATAGTGAACATTAGTCCATTAGGAATAATGTTAGTGAAATAAAAACAAACAGGACTTTTTTTTTCTGTTTCAGCCTGAAGACAGTTTTTAACCAATGATTAGCTTTCCTCAAGATAGTAGCATAGTACAATGTTTTCCAAGAACAGCATCTGAAAAAGCTGCATAAACAGAGCATGAAGGGACAAATCCCACTGTAGTCATTGGGACTACTCCATTGTCTAAAATTAAAAGCATGAGTAAGTGTTTATAGGTTTGAGATCTGAACTGGTTACAAAAATAATATAACAAGGTACCCAAGAGGAACATTAATTTTACAGCATTCCCAAAGGATTTATACAGAGTTCAGAGATATGCAAGGATTAAAGGGCCGGATTCGGCAATTGGCTGAATCATTAGGATTTGAGATTTCCAAGTAACTTTCAGGACAGAACCCATCTACATATTAAAGTCAGGATGATCAGCACCCTTATGGACAGTGATGTCTAGGGGTCAGCTCAGCCTCACTGATTGGTGTGGCCCCTTTAAGATTTTGGGACATCTGAAAGGCAAAGACCAAGGAGGCTTTGGGAGAGAAGAAATGGTCCCAGGAGTAAGTAGTATTTAGAAAGCATCCCATTACTGTCTCTTCATGGGCCATGGGGCCTTGCATAATGGGTGGAGCAAGGTTCTTCATTCTCCCAGCCAAATGGGATGAACTCTAGGAAAGGAAACAGAATAAATACCACCCCCTGCCTCATAGCAAGACAGGGGATGGCAGGGGAAGGCTGGTCAAGCTGAACCCTTCAAAGTATGAGTATTTTCCAGTAAATAGGACATACAAAACCTCACTTAAATAGTATACTGATATGATGATGCACCTTGAAAAAAAAGAGCTATGATCAGAAACATTTAAATAAGATGTTTTCAGAAAGGTAATGAATCACAAAACTTGGGAGTGAATGTGTGACACTGAGCCAGAAAGGGTTACCCAAGTAGCAGGCTAAATAACTCAAATTCTACTTTGAAAGACATATTATGTAAATGGTAATTAGGGCTATTCATTATAAAAGCTGATGATACTGTTACATTGACTAGAAGAGCTTTGAATTGTGGATTTGTATTGTTAGAGAAAAAGACGGTAATTTTATTTGTCTGTAAAAACAAGGAGAAGATTTTACCCATGAAAACTTAAGCTCTAATAAATCTCTTAGTTAAGGTGCCACAAGTCTCCTTGTTTTTGCAGATACAGATTAACATGATAACCCCTCTGAGACTCCTTTGTCTGTATTTACTTATATCTTGTTAGAGATTAACATTGTAACCAGATGGCTCCTGTTTGTTACTATATTCGAGGGTGCATCTACACCAGTGGTCCCCAACGTGGTGCCCGTGGATGCCATGTCACCCACCAGGGCATTTATGTGCGCCTGCCGATTCATCTGGGCTGACCCTGCCCCTGGGCACCCGGCAGCCCCGAAAGGTTGGAGACCACTGATCTACACAGCAGGGCTTAACTCGAAATAAGCTACTCAAATTGAGCTACATCAATTGCATAGCTTATTTCAAAATAGCTTATTTCAAAATTGGGAGCATCTACATAGCACTTATTTAGAAATAGAGCACTCTTCCTCCGACTTCTCTTACTTCTTGTAAAATAAGGGCTACAGGAGTCAGAGTAAGAAGTCCTCCAGCTTGACAATATTTCGACATTATTTTGAAATAACTGCCTGCTGTGTGGACATGGACTAAGTTAGTTTGAAATGTTAGTTATTTTGAAATAATATTGCTGTGTAGACATACCCCTAGGCTACGTCTACACTGGCCCCTTTTCCGGAAGGGGCATGTAAATTTCAGCAGTCGTCGTAGGGAAATCCGCGGGGGATTTAAATATCCCCCACGGCATTTAAATGAAAATGTCCGCCGCTTTTTTCCGGCTTTTAAAAAAGCCGGAAAAGAGCGTCTAGACTGGCCCCGATCCTCCGGAAAAAGTGCCCTTTTCCGGAGGCTCTTATTCCTACTTTTGAAGTAGGAATAAGAGCCTCTGGAAAAGGGCACTTTTCCTTTTGAAGTAGGAATAAGAGCCTCTGGAAAAGGGCACTTTTTCCAGAGGATCGGGGCCAGTCTAGACGCTCTTTTCCGGCTTTTTTAAAAGCCGGAAAAAAGCGGCGGACATTTTTATTTAAATGCCGCGGGGGATATTTAAATCCCCCGCGGATTTCCCTACGACGACTGCTGAAATTTACATGCCCCTTCCGGAAAAGGGGCCAGTGTAGACGTAGCCCTACTGATTCAGCTATCAAAAGGGAATAACATTTAGATGAAACTTCTGTGTAATAATATCATTGTCTATATTTCTCTTTGAAGGTTTGGAGTAAATTCTCTAAGAACTGCTGATGAATGCAACCAGTTACCTATGTAAGCATAGGAAACAGAAGATTTTATTTCAAAGCTACAATGCTTTATCCGGGAAATACCTGCTGTCAAGAGGCTATCGATAGCCTGCCAGAGATCTATAAAAGAACTAAGACTCCGGTCCCATAATTCAGATCTACTTATGCTTGGTCAGGAGAAATCTGAATCATAAAACTGAGGTCTCCAACTCCAGTTTGGATTACCCTGTTAAGTCTCATGGAAGAATTAGAACAAACTCTATCTATGGATCCCCTATTTGGACTATAACCTGATGAACTGATTCTGGAAAGAACTTTTTGAAACTCAGCAGCTCACCATCTTTTTTATGAAACTGACCTAAGAACTTTATTCATATCTGTATCTATTATTTTGGTTAAAAGATGCTCTTTTCTTTTAAAATAAATCTTAGTTTAGTGAATAAGAACTGCCAATAAGCATATGTGATGGATAGGAGGAGTGCTGGCCAGCACTCAGTGACTAAGGGGTTAAACTCAGGTAGCTAGCAAGGGTGTTGGCAGGGGATAGAAGAACCAATGGGGATATGGTGCTGAAATCTGAATTGTATCAAACACCTTGCCTGCTTTCTTTGTGTGGGAGAGTATACAGGATGATTTAAACCCAAGAGGAGTACCATGGCTCCAAGAAATTTGGGGGCATGGGAGTGTACTGAAGGGATCATGAGTAAACAAAGGGGCTGTGTCTACACTGGGCCACTTATTCTGGAAAATCAGCCGCTTTTCCGGAATAAGCTGCGAGCTGTATACACTGGCCCTTGAATTTCCGGAAAAGCAACGATGCTCTACTGTACAAAATCAGACGCTATTCCGGAAAAACTATTCTGCTCCCGCTCGGGCATAAGTCCTTATTCCGGAACACTGTTCCAGAAAAGGGCCAGTGTAGACAGCCCAGTAGTCTTTTCCGGAAAAAAGCCCCGATCGCGAAAATGGTGATCGGGGCTCTTTTCCGGAAAAGCACGTCTACATTGGCCACAGACACTTTTCCGGAAAAAGGGCTTTTCCGGAAAAGCAGCCTGCCAATGTAGACGCTCCTTTTCCGGAAAAACTGAAAACGGAATAATATTCCGTTTTAAGCAGTTCCAGAAATTCATGCCAGTGTAGACACAGTCAGGGGGAAAAATGTGTATCTAGTCATGATCAGGATATTTTTCTTTATTTTGGGTTGTTTGGTTTAAACTTCTCTGTGTGAATCCATGCCTTCCCTTCTCCATTGACCATTTAAGTTCTTTGTGTTTTGATTTGTTCTTTCGTAGTTGCTCTGTAACATATAGCAACAAAGTAGCTTTATCAAGTATATCTTTTCTTTTGTTAATAAAAATCACTTTTTAAGGTGATGATTGATTCTTGTGTCCTGGAAAAATATGTGTGTGTGTGAGTGTGAGTGTGAGTGTGAGTGAGAGAGAGAGAGACTGGGTGGTCAGCTACTGGAGACAGCAACTTGTTTTTCTCTTTTCTTTTTTTTCAAACTCTCCATGTCCTCCTTCTCCTCCTCCCCCCCCTCCCCCC